TAAATACTAAATAAGAAGATGACCATGTATATTTCTTCTGTCAGACTTAATGGACTTCAAACCAATTTGTGTAGACCCGAGGGAATATTCTACGCGAACAAATTACAGCCATCTTGTTCTTGAAGACTGGCGAGTTTTCTGTTTGATACTTTCAATGAAAAAAATAAAGCTCATCACAGGTATAATGCAAGTAAAAAATATCTGCATTGCTTGAGAATGTCCGCAATCATAATCGACAATCTGCAGTATTGACGTAATGAGAATATTAAAAGATTTTTACTGAAAATCATTATGTTTAAATCTGAAACCATTATTTGGTCTTATCCTGTTAACGATGACGACCAGGCTTTGAAAAAAAGAATCATAAATCAAAGAAATCTTGACCACATACATGTACGTGGTTGTTTTTTCCTTATATAGATTTTTGAACTAGCCTCAAACTGCTTTCACCTGTTTTTGAAAATTACATCATATGGAAAAGCTCATGCTGTCCAGTAATCCTTAAATCCAAGGATGCTGTTTTGTTCATGTTCGGACAATTTCAAATTCTTCTCTAGAAAGTCTGGACCAAAGTCTACCCTTTTTTGTACATATTAAACCTCATATGAACATAAAATGTGAAATGCATAGTTCTCGTCTCCCGGTGCTTGAGACAAAACCATCAAAATCTTTTCTGTTTGCAAAATGATAATGTGGCTAGCCAACTATTTAAATTGTTATGTTTAATATTACCTTGACCCTTTTGTTGTGATCCTTGCATGGATCAAGTGGGTTATGCATTGAATAGTTTTGATAATAAGCAAGAGAGTACGCGTTTTCGAAGAGTGCATGTATTCATCAAGAGTGTATGCGTGATATGACATTCCACATTTTGCCAATAAATGTAGAACACGAATTATATATTTTTTGCATATAAAGAAGACACAGTTGTCCTGGGCCTTTTTGGCCATAAGCGCCTCCAATAATCATTCAATTACCCCTAAGTCCCGCTGGTAGATCAGCCTTTTAAGAATACATGGTCCATTGTGTAAGAGGAAAATATCAAAACGCATGGTCATTTGTAGCTTTTTATATATGATTCAGATTAAGGCTTATGAATCCAAACTTGTTTTTGTGCCTTTCTATAGGAGCAGATTAGGCGGTACTTGGTTATCACTGATTACGGGGCGACAGGCAGTGACGGGTGTGGGTATCCACCCTACATTTATTCAGCCTGCAAATTAATCACTGCATTGCAAAAATGCAGGCTACAGCATTTATATTCCTTTTGCTGATGCCAATAGTTATCTGTAGTGAATTCAAAGGCGGAACTATTTCTTGGAGGCCTACATCCTCACCGCAACAGGTTGGATGTTTTTCATATCTATATTTATTTTACAAGTAAAACAAAGCTACATGACAGTTTGGACTTTTTGCAAAAATGATATGAATGTTTGAGCAGTAGAATATTAAGAAAAATGAAATGCATTCTTTGCTTTTAAAATGGAAATAATGTTGCAACTGTTGCAGAAAAAAACGTAACCCGCGAAAATGGGTTATATACATGCAAATGTTGCAATCTAGAACAAATTCTCTAACCACTGCACCACGGGTGAGACTTCCATTATCAGTAAAGTAAAACAGATGTTCACTGCCTAATATTTCTTTTTAATTCCGAGCTCGTTGGAATATATCGAGTCGACATGAAAGTGATCATAATTTTTGTCAATTCATAAAACGGTGTCGATATATAAATAAAAAGTCTAATTGATGGCCAAAGGAATACTTTTCTTCTCTTGTATAAGTTTTCAAATAATTTTTTGCTTCACAAGAATTTAAGAAAATGTTTAAGAACACATCGAAATATCATTTTAAATTGTAATTGTATATCTTAAATGTAATTTAACTATATATGTTGTCACATTGGGGTGTCTGAAATTAAAAAAAAATATAGCGATGAGGAACAAAATTCAATCTCAAACTTCTACTCCAACTATTGAAATCAAGAGCAGAGAAAAAGGGATATCTAAAACATCAGGTGGGATGAGGTGCCATGGTGGAGTTACTAAGCATTAAATGTCATTGTATCGACCATAGAACTTGCAATGGAATATTTTTAAAGGTAACGGTTCGTTCATATTCTTGTTTCATCAACTTAATAAACCTGGTGTATAATCATTACAGATAGAAATTTCCTATCGTATGGCTTGGAGTCGTTCGAATATTGGAGCCAGTTGTGACGGCAGCAAAATATCTTCCCAAGGACTGATAACAGTTGATGGTAACCTCTATTGCAGGATGGGCTGCGACAAGCAGATCAGCTCAATGCATGGGAAATGCATTGCTTACAGTTCTAGCGAAGACTGGTCTTTAGGAGAAGGGTCCTTCATGTTTACCCTTCCTACGCCCGGAATCAGTTATGTTTTTAGGTAACAGGGCATTAGATATTCATATGATGTGATATACATGTACATGTACCTTGATTGAGAGGTATAATCTACAGGTGCTCGTGGACAGGCTTGTCTCTCAACTCCCTCCCTTCTTTAAATAAAAAAATCTGATTTTTTAAAATTTCTGTTCTTTGACAACTTAATCTACATTTCTTTTTCTTCATCAAATTCTATTTGCAATAAAAAAATGCAGCAACTGCTTTCCAGAATGGAACAGTGCTGTTGGCAGACTTTGACGACTGGTGCTTCGTCAAAGGATATAAGGATGACCATGACAGCGAACACAGCGCCACGGGCCGACACAGGGGTCCTCAACTCCTCCCCGGTCGTTACCATGGCACCAATAATCCGTCTCCTCAATAATTGTCCACATACATTCAGAATTCCAGGTACAGTGTATTAGGTTAAAACCTTTTATTGCTGGAATATGCATCTCATTCACATCGAAGATCAGTTATGGTACAAGAAATTAAAATAGAAATTCAGATTCTCAAAACTCAAAACATTTTCGTCAAATGATTTTTGAAAACATACCGTTGCATTGGTTATTAAACATGAAAAAGATGCAGGGATTTCGAAGGCAAACAATTATTCTATAATCAATCTTTCAATAAGTTTAAAACTGGCTCCTACATTTTATCTTTGTGTAACCGTTTCTTGTTTGGAGGCAATGATAAAGTACATGTATTATACCTTTTATTGCAGTACTCGATCCTGATGGGGATATTGTCCGCTGTCGTTTTCCCAACAAAAACAACACAGACGAATGTGGGTATCTTTGTAATGGACTTTTGGAAACTGCAATCGATAAATTAAAGGTTGGTAAAGATTTTTTTTTCAAAAAAGCCATTGAACATTTCATATTAAAGGGTTTGCTATAAAAATACTATTTAAAAAAAATCATCCTCTGTATACAAGCATTCAGTTTCAATTTTTTGGCAGAATTTCTTATGAAATTTTATCCTATTTTTATCCTCAATATTTAAAAATATTCCAGTAGACCAACTTGTTAATGCTGACTTTACTTTGTCGAAAAAAAAATATCTCTGTGACAAGATAAAGAAGAAATACTCCTAGTTCTCGCTAATGGCAAGGTCCTTCTTAATAAAGTGATACTACTATGCCCTTTAATTTCGCATAATTTCGACTATGATAATTAAGTTGTATACATGTTTCAATAAATTTCAAGAAAAGAGTCTCAAACGAAAATTTCCATTAATTTAAACACAAGCTGGGAAATGTTCGTACATGGATTAGAAGGTGTACACAAAGATTTCACATGTGATTGTCTTCGGTTTTCATGAAGTGTGTGATGAGAGGTTTTTTTAGATTCATTTCTCATTGATCAAAATGATTTTTGAATCATTATCTTTTCTCTGATATCAGAAAAAATATACATCAAAATATACAGTCATGTATTTCGTGATATCAAAAATAAGTTTGATATATTGATATTAAAACAATTCTGATATCAAAATTTCGATTTTTGAAATCAGGAATTTTTGATAGAGGAAAAAAATGAAATATATTTTACATTTAGAATAAAAAGATTCTTTCTGATATTAAAAACTATTTATATATATTTTTTAATTTCCTTTTTTTTTACATATCAAAAATTAAATACCAGAATTCAAAATTTCGTATTTCTGGCTTCGAAATTTTGATAGCAGAAAATATTTTTGATATAAGAAAATTATAATAACGGCGCCTCATGGTAATACTTATCTGAAGTATCATTTCAACAACAATTCTGTAATTGAGAAAGCTGGTATCTATGCATGCAACTTTTCAAGCTAAACAATCCTTGATTTTTTTTCTTTTTACAACCTCATCAGTCATTGTTCTTTGAAATTATTTCTATAGGACACATGCATGTTTTCTTACAACCCGACCAAAACCGGAACTTTTGGTGTCCACGTACAAATCGAAGACTTCTCGACCAGGCCTGCGGCAGCTGTCCTCAGCTCGGTTCCACTTCAGTTTTTGATAGAAGTGTTTGACGACGACCCATTGACGTGTACTGACGCTCCTGTCTTTGTTGCTCCTACTCCTATTGATGGCAGTTGTTACTCAGTTTCTAATACGTTCACAAAGGTGCTTGTGGCCAGGACTGCAAGTGCCTCTCAGACGTAAGATTATTAGACATTTTTTAAAGAGAGGTATCTCGTTATGAATGCAGAGGGGTTTTAAAAACAATGTATTTGTATTAAAAGACATTCACAGATGTAGATTTACCTTATAGACCTAGAAAAGTAGGAAGAGGAAACAATAAAACGGATTTGTAATGTATATGAAATATTGAGTCAAATGCCGACTAACATTTCTCTTACTAGTTTTTAGTCCATTATTTATACACTGAATTGACGACGGATTTTTCTGTTATTTCCCGACCATGACGAAGAGCACACGGCGGGTGTGACCCGTCAGCATGGGATGCTCACTTTTCCATGGCACCTGATTCCACCTCTGATGGTTTGGAGGTCCATGTTTGCTCTGATCCTATTTTGTATTGTTTTATGATCTTTTGATCTTGAATACTGTATGTTATCTTCATATGTTTCATACAAAACCAGAAAGGAAATTTAAGACAAAAAGCGAAAGGGCTGGTGGAATAAGATGAAATTACCACAAAATACTTGTACACCAATCCAAGTTGCATCCATACATTTGTTTGGAGCATCTGTCCTAAGGAGGAATTTATAATAAGGTTCCTTTCGTCTTGCTTTTATGTTATAACTTTTTTTTTTATAGTCGCCCGTGTGGCGCAGTGGTAAGAACGTCTGCTCTAGAGTCGCGAAGTAAGGAATTGATCCTTACGTCGCGGGTTTGAATCCCACTGTGGGACGTTATTTTTGTAAACCGGTCCTTTAGATGAGACCGTATACACCGAGGTCCCGTGTGGCAGTACATGTAGATGCTAGCATGCCCAAAAAGATCCTTTAAACAACTTACAAACAAACAAACATTTAAAATTGGAGATCAGAGTAGAATTTCCTGCTTTCCTGCTATCATTAATTTTTTTCTTTTATATTAACAGTTAGTCTTTTACTTTTATTATCATATGGTTTGAATATTGTTTATTTAAAGGATAACAAAAATATCCACAATTGGACCGGTAGGGACTACGAAGACCAGTCTGTCCCGCTATGGTAGTTCTGGTAGAGAATGGTCAATAACAGTCACTTGGACACCAACACAGAGCCAGAGTGGGCTTCATCAGCTTTGTTTCAGTGCAGAAGTTAATAATAAGTAAGCATTGGGTTTTTTTTGTTTTTTTTTTGATAGAGGATATATTCAAAGTACGTATAGACCAACTTATTAACCAACGAAACAATTGGATGTGTGTTCTTTTAAATGAATATCTATAAATCGTACATTGTTTTATTCTTAGTGTATATCTTTATCATAGTTAAACGTTAAATGGAACTTGAATCCACCTCTGATTTTTCACAGTCCGTATTTGTTATACTTTAATTTGTTTCAGAAGAGATTTTTTTTAAATTGACTACTGTTCGATATCTTCACAATTCTTATGTTAAAGCATTTCACTTTAAAATGTTAAATTGTTATTAACTTCGTTTAATTTCAGATTAACTTCAAGCATGAACTGTGTTGAACTTCTTAAAGGAAGTACGTGGAAAGGATGAAATTTCAAAATAATGATAATAATAATAATAATGACAAAAGATTGAAGATTCATTTATACATAATAGTATATACGTAACTCTCATTTTTTCCACCATCTGCCTGAGTAGAAATTTTACGATTCATACTTTTATATTTTTTTCAAAAATATTTATACATATAATAAAGAAGAATTATAACATTCCTGAATATTATTTTATCTTTTCTCTTTTGTATATATTATTTCTTTTATATTCACAATTGATTATTTATAATTAATTTTTAGCCCCACCCGCAGTAAAGCTCGTGAAAGGATGCTTAACGCCTTTTGGAAAAACTTGGGATAAACTCACTACTACGTTAAAAATGTGTTTTAACAGAAAGGTACACAGGATGAAAAGCCAGGTTTCCCAAATTTGGAAACCCGATGGAAACATATGGGAATCGTGACATCAGTAGTTTCCATATAGTTTCCATTTTATGGAAACCACATAGTGGTTTCCACATAGATTCCCGACATGGAAACAATCAACCTGTGGTTTCCCGTAAGTTTCCCAAGATAGGAAACCATGGAAACATACCCCGGTGGTTTCCACATAGATTCCCAACTTGGAAACAATCAACCTGTGGATTCCCGTAAGTTTCCCAAGATAGGAAACCATGGAAACATGCCCCGGTGGTTTCCATGTAGATTCCCGATATGGAAACAACCAACCTGTGGTTTCCCGTAAGTTTCCCAAGATGGGAAACCATGTAAACATGCCTCAGTGGTTTCCATACAGATTCCCGACATGGAAGCCACCAATGTGTAGTTTTCCCCATGTTTCCCAGGCAGGGAAACTTTGAAAGTATATCTCAATACTAACCACCTACCTTTTATTTTACAAAAAGTAAAATATTTAATTATGATAACATATTTTTACCAATTATAGAAATATTTCAAAAGTGTTTACATGCTGTATCAAAATAATTAACTTCAAACAGTTAAAATAACTAGATGTGTATTTCTGTGTGATTAATTTAATATTTCAGCACCGTGAACGCAATTCAATTTTAATTTAATTTTATTGAACTGAATTTTATTTAATTTAATTTAATTTTGAATTTGATTTATCACATAAGTTTTGGTAAACTCGTATAGAATGCGTGAAGTGGAATAGAAAAAAGTAAGTGCATGCAGTTATGTAGAAATCAATCATTTCCGATCCCACTTTCTTGAAGCTGTCTATGATGAATGTTCCTTCGAAAAAATGGAAGAGCTAAGGAAGGGTACATTTAATGAAAGTATTTACAGAAAAGGTTTACTAAAAAGATCGATTAAAAAGTAAATAAAGAAATATGTCAATTTACGATTACTGATTAAGGACAGGTGAGACGTTCCTCAATAAAATAATTAATTTTTTTTCCAATATTTTGCAATTGACTTTGAAGAATTATTTTTACATAATTACATGTTTTCACAAGACATCAAGATACCTTCCCAGGCATTTGTGTTAGATACCAGAGGTTGGCATTTCTTATATACCTGGGTAATCCGTCAGGAAAAAAAATACTTCAGTTGGTTTGTCAAAATTACATTTTTAGTGTTTCAAGTTTTAAAGTCACGTTTAGAAAGTGATAAAGATTTTGTTTTAATATGAATTAATATATTAATATAAACTGGTCAGATAAGAATCATTCATCGAATTGGCTGGGGTTGAGTATTATCATACTAGTATTTTACTATTAATAGTGAATATTGTTTTTTTTTAATTTATTAAATTATTATTTTTATTATTGGGGGTGGGTGGGTTGCTTTTCATTTTTTCCTTGAGAAGCGCCCCCCCCCCTAAAAAAAAACGGTTTTGAAAAAGTCACTATGGTCGGCCTGTGTAATTAGGGACACCTGTTCTCACGTGCCATTTCAGGTGGAGACACGTGCCGCGAAGATACCTGTCACTGTGTATTTTTTGTATATTCTATGTGAATTGAGACGGTTTTGTACCTAAAGGGAACAATAGGCTGTTGTCGAGCATGTACACACACAGTCTCCGACCGAAAATTCCTTTGTGTTAAGATGATGATTCGTGTTTCTTTTATCATTTAAAAAATTGTATATTCCATAAATAAAGTTATACAAGAGAACATATTTATAAAATAACCTTCATTTAAGAAGTTCAATGAAAGAACAAACTATTTAGAATTTTTATTTCAATTTTCATTACTGATTTAAAATAAAACTATCCTCTTTAGAAATTAAATAATTTTCTATAGGTATTGAATAGATCTTAATTCTCGTCGTGTATAATTATATTAAATCAGAATGACGTTAATAGATCAATGTGAAATCAAAACTGTATTTAATATTGTTGATGGGTTTTTGTGTGAAATTTGTAATCTAACGTACTACAAAGACATTTATTAGATAAATGTTTATAATATAATTCATCACATAAACCTTTTTTTCTTTCCTTTTTTTTGTTTAAATATGTACGCAGATCCCCGTGTGGTAAACGCCTGCACTTTTCGCATGAAATTACGATGTAGGGTCCTAAATGCACATACATTATATTTAACAAACTTTAAAATTTTCAGCCATTTTTTTTTCTCCAAAGGCCATTGCTTTAGATAAAGAAAAGTCTATAATATTTTGCATGATTTTGTTTTCCTTAAGAACAATGGCTTTTAAAGTAGTACATGCTAAGGCAATCTATTAAAAGAATTAATTGTATAATTGTCACAATTTTATTTTTGTTCAGTTTTTGTTGATTTCATTCTGTAAAGGTATGAAGTTTGTCAATACTTCAACAAACATTTCTTTATCTATGTTGTACACTACTTTATTTTTATTCGCCGACATGCTACTCTTTTTAAAAAAAACTTGGGTGACTAATAGACTCGATCTTCAGGCCTGTAGGAAAGTAATTTCCGTTAGAGTAATAAACTAACCGGGATTTTATTTTTACTAACATACCTTACCAGATTTCTTAACGAAAAAAAAAAACATTAAAGAAATACAGGGCGGGACCAGCTAAAGCTGTATGCATAAGTACAGTCCTGCACATCAACGAGTATAGATGACTTTCGACATAATCTTTCCCATGACTTCACTTATACCAATCACGACTAAAATACTGAATTAAAATACTGTTATATTTTCCTGCCTTTGATTAGATGTTAGTTTTGTTCCACCTAGAGATATAACTCTCCTAAGAAAAAGGTTTTCAACATTCTGATTCATTTAACAATTGTATTACGTGTTAAAATGATGTGGGAATTTTTTTTTAGCTTTTTTTTACGTGTTAAAATGATGTGGGAATTTTTTTTAGCCAAAGGCCAAGGAGTTTAAAGTACAATGTACATGTAGCAATTAGAGAAAAGTCTAGCAGGTCCACCAGTAATATTGATAGCAGGCGCAAAATCTAATTAAACCCCGAAAAGGAGGGAGTTCAATTAGTAATTTAATCCCCCCCCCCCCAAAAAAAACCAGCAATTTATTAGCAATGAATTATTAATCACCGAACTTTTCAATCATCACTATTGAAATAAAAAAAACTGTTCTTGATAATCATATTATAATTGTAGCTCATTTTCATGCCATTTAGGATTCCTGTGGAAAGTTCACAATAAAAAAAATGTGCTTTTAAAAATTTAACATCTTTTGGTGTGACATTATAAATTCATAATCATACATGTAACAGTTAAAAGAAGCGGGGAGAGGGGGGGGGGTTACTTTCAGCAAGGACGGCCACTACCAACAACCAAGCCCCGAAACCCATATCCCGAAGGCAAATAAGTTGAGGTGTCAAGCAAGAAACAATTTTTTTCTGCTCTTGCATCATGTATTTAACCGCTTTTTTCTAAATATACAGTACTAGGCCTACACATTATATCGGCAAAATATTTAGGAGCCCCTCTTTTTATTCCATGAAAAGCGGAAAACTTAATTAAATTCTAATATAAGATCTCATAATCACACTGAATCATAGTGAATGTAAACAGTTTATATTTCCCATCCTGCATCGCTCTCTGGGCGCTTTATTTCATTGGTCAATTTCCCGAGGCGCCATTTTTGGAGGATCGAGAAGGACGAAGAAGAAGGTGTAAGCAGCTGGTAAATGTGAAAAGTTAACTTGGTTTCACCACCCAGTGTCTTTAAGACTGTGATAAATGCAATGGCCAACGATGAAGGATTAGTGTACGTATATTTTTGTTAATTTTTTACGGTAAATAGTTGTAATATTTGGCAACAACAAATCTTCACTATCGGAGGCAACTTTTGTTCTGACGCCATTTTGAAAAGTTGGATACCTAAGTTTTAAATTGTTCAGTGTATATATTGCAGAGAGAAAGAGAGAGAGAGAGAGAGAAATATGAGACAGTGATATAGCATAACTTAGATTATGGAGGCCCCAAAGGCACCGTGCATGTGCATGCTGTATGTTGTAAAATGGCAACGTTTCGCTTTTTATCATGTTTATTAAAATGTATGCTCCATATGTATGTTCTCTCTCTATAAATAAATGAATACTTTTCGGAATTAAAAAAAATATTTTTAACCCCGCTCAAATTATCCGGATGATAATAGTTACACCGAGCATGGTTTCGTAGTTAAATTCAGACTGTAGAACATCCGGTTTGAATACATGTGTTTTCTGACTTTTCGGATAGCCAACTCTTGTTTTTTGGAACTTACGACTTATGGCAAGGTATAAATTAAATATTTTTGGTTCAAAACTTTGATAAAAGCATCGATAATTTTACAAAAAGTGTCTTCAATCTCAGCTTATCCGATTATACATGAAGGATATCCTCATCAGAACAGTTGGAATAGATTGTAGCGAATAGCATAACCCTTAATCATATGCATGACGGTTGACGATGATATGGAGGAAAAATATACATAAAAAAGTGAATGTAGGTGAAAGCCTGTCCACTCTTCTGAAGAGATTAGGTTTGTTTTATTGTTTATTGAAATAGTTTACTGCTCAAAAGATTTTTTTTTGTAATGTCTAACCTGTTGAGATGAAGATGTAAAAAAAAAAGAAAAGCCTAATAGTGAATTAATATTGATAGTATGTCAAGAAATGCAAATGAATCATCAGCTTGAATTATCAGTTTTTTCACAATTATTGACCTGAGTAGGTCAATGTATAGCAAATAATGCACAATAAAACTACTTACATACATGTATACGGTATTGTCTTACTGAACAGATTTAGCTGTCATTAGGTCAAAATTGCAAATAATAACATACTTCTTATATCTGTATATACAAGTAACTCTTGATGGCTTGAACTTCAATTTCTCGGAAGTTCTTGATCGCTTGAAGTGAGTCTCCGGTCCCGATTTTTTCCTCTTTATAACTAAAGCCTAGAAAAAAATATGTTTGTTTCCGCTTTCAGGCTGAAAAAATATAGGGTAGGTAGGTACATGTAGGCAATTTTTTTTTTTGAAAAATTTTTTTTGCTTCTTTAATCAAAACTTGTTCAGAAGTAACATTAATGACAAAAGAAATGGTGTTTTAAAGCGAATCTGTGACTTAAACTTATAATACAAAGGTGACCAAAACTTCTTTCTGTCTTGGAAAGCTTGCAAAGTTGGAGACTATAATTCCCTGGGTGAAATCTTGTACATCATGGGACAAAAACATTAAAAAAATATTTAGGGTCGGCACTATAAATTAGGGTCGGTCGGGAAAGCGGAAACAAACATATTTTTTTTCTAGGCCTAAGCAGATTTGCGCTTGAACTCATGATCTCTCGAAACCCTTGATCCCTCAAAGTCAAAATGCAGTCCCGCTGTGCTATGAATTTTACCCTTGATACCTCGAAGTGGCTGTGTGTATACCAAGTTATAATGTTAAAACTTTTGCCATAACTGTATGTCTGAGTGTCTGTTGTCAACTTAAACCTTCACCATAACTTTAGAACTATATGAGATAGTGGCTTCATATTTAGTATGCATACTCCACTAATGAAGTGCTTTCAAATGGCAACAAGGACAATGATTATGTGATCTTGACTGTGACCTGTATGCTAAAAAAAATTGCATTTTCGAACTTTGTTGCTGTGTTTCACAAGCGCATCTTTTTTTTAGCTCTACTGGTCAGAGACCAGAAGAGCTTATGCGATAGTAATGCGTCCGGCGTCCGTCTTTCTGTCCGTCTGTCTGCAAACACTACTCCTCCTTAAATTTTAGTCTGATTTCAATATAACTTGGCACACAAGTAGACTATACATAATTCTGTGCATCAGTCTTTGATAAGTACAAACCAGTAGAGCTACAGTCTCGACAGAGACTTGTGGTTATTTTTTCTTCCATCCCGGTTGTTGCTAATGCTATTACATATTTAGTTTAAATTAGAATGCAATAGTACCTGGACATAATTTATCATTTCAGAGAGAAGAAAACTGTGTGACGTTAAAAGAAAACCAGTGAGATAAAATCATAGAAAATGTATGATGATTCAGGATGTGGCCATTTGGTAAGTGGTAATTCATTCATGATTAGTATGTATATGACAATTGCCTGAAAAAAAAAGATTCTGAATTTTATTTAAATACTGAACTGTAGTATATCAGCTGTGAGCTACAAGAAGTTTTATGTAAAAGCTAGGGCTGAAACAATTTGCCCATTCCATGTTATGTGTGTATTGCTATGATTGACATACAATCAGTTCTCTAAATCTAATACATACACTTTAATAAAACTTTGTCGTCTTGAACCTGAATTGAAAAGGAAAAAACTCTGAGATCTCTCCAAAAAATTGAATGAAAAAAAGGAAATGCTTATTAACTGATTTCTTGCTGGTCAGTATTTTGATTACTGAAAGGAAGCTCTAAAAACTGCACACTAAAGAGTTCTACTTTAATATCAGGTAGTTTTATGAAGTTAGAGTGATCTGCCCTTAGATTAAGATTATGAAAATTGTTATTTTACAGTCAGTTAGATTATTTTTAATAGATTAAATTATTTTTAGCATTATTTAAAATTAAAAAAAATAGGAAATTAGTTATTTTCATAGATTTTTCCAATGTAAGTAAACAGCAATGATTTCTGCTTACAGATAGTCCATTGTCTTTGAAAATTTCTTGGGGAAATGAGGCACATACCATATGTTCTAAATGCATAAAAAAGGCTCCTTATGCATATATTTATATGAAATATGACAGATTTTTTTCTCTTCAAGGAATAATTTCTGCAAGTCACTAAGTTTTTAGAGTTTCCTTTATTTTATATATATTCAATGAAATTATTTGAAGTATTAAATTTTGGTAAATTTTATGATACTAAAAGGTTATATGGATGAAAAAACAGCATGCGTGTATGACAATCAGGGCTTAAATTTTTAATGTCTCTTAATTTTTCAGTGACATTAAAACAGGAATTGTCATCACCAATAGACGAATTTCTCCAATTGTCGGCGTATCGCTCATTTTTCCCACTTTGTCCTTTGTAAGTTACTTGTTAATATATTTTCAATCTTCAAAAATATTGGACAATTACGATCTGTATTGCCAGAGTATGGGGGCAACATGAAAATCATAATGAATATGTTCATACAGATTTTATTTCTAAAATATTGTCCCTCAACGTTGATATGGTTAAAGAGGGAAAACAGCGTCTTAAGCCGGTTGACCCCAGATCGACCCTGCGAAGGGGAATAACTTTTGTAAATGTGAAACAAAGTCCTTTATGGTATATCATATAGATCTAAAACTGACTGAATTTTGATCAGCCAATTCATGAACATGATGAATGGATGTAAATAATGTTGGTCAATATATGTAAATAAAATTAAATTACTTGTTTATATATTCATTTGTGGTATCTCTCCCATTGAAGTTTATAAACTTGTTATTTATTTCTTAAATAAACTGAGCGTACATGCAATACCGGTATAAAATTACTCAAAAGATACATGTATACTTAAACCATGATAAAATCATATGTGTCCAATGCAGCATATGTTAAATCATTAACATATAAGTACATGTGTATATATACTGTAATACATATATATTGCATTATTTTTAGGTCCTGTTCTGTGGATGCCCTAAGACAGTGTCTACCCATCACTCCATCTGATATCACTTGTTCTGTGCATATTTCTCTCTCAAACTTAAACTACAGAGAGCCTGTGGATAGAGGATGAAGAGTGACCTTGGACTAATTTTCTAGGTCAAAGGTCAGTATCAAAATGTACTGTATATCTTTATTTAAAATCGTAGTCCAGAGTATATTTCTCCCCTGGTGTAATCTAGCTTTTGTGTAATTGGGTGGAGGGTCTGCAATGATCTTCAACCAATTTATAGGTCGAATATCAAAATTAAAAAAAAAATCTCTCCCTAATATTTTTGTTATTATAAAGGGTATTATATATGTTTTCTCTCAAACTAATCAAACTTAAAGCAGGGTTCTTAGTATGAGATACATGTAGTAATATATTCTCAATGACATAATAAGGCTGAAAAGTGAAAACATTATTTATATTATGTTATTTTTTTTTCACTTATCATAAAGCATTAAATATTAAAGAGATACATTAAATGCTGAAATCATATGTATCATGGTCATGGAAAGTAATTATTGATATTTGTATATTAAAGGACATTGACTGATCTTTCAGATTTCTAAGTTATATTCAAGCATTATAATTCTGACATCATAAAATAATTTTGTATGAATGTTGCAGATCATAGGTGATGTGAAGAAAACCAGGAAACTGATGTTGAAAGAAGTACCTAATGACCCTTATGAATGGACTTAAATGTGAAAGACTGTTCCATTGCTTATCTAAGATATATGAATTTATTTAATATTTTGATATCATTGAAAAATTCAGTTACAGTTTTTGTACATCAAATGAATTATTAAACATATAAAATGGTAATGCTTTTTTCTTTTACATGTAATAAATTTTTTTGATAGATTTTTAAAAGAATACGCATTATTTCACATTGCTTCCTTTAGAAAAGTTGGGGAATCTTGAAGTTTCCCAGTAATTTCCACCAGGAATGGGACTCCAGATAATTCCACCAAGTTTCCGCCACACAGAAAGTGCTACACAAGTTCCATATAGTTTCCTGAGTCAAGGAAACTTCAGGAATCACAAGGTTTCACGAGCTTCCATGTAGTTTCCCATAAAAGAAAACCTTAAGATTCCATCAAGTTTCCATTCCACGGAAACCACTACGCTCATATTCCATATGGTTTCCTGAGTCGAGGAAACTTTAGGAATCGTGAGGTTTCCCGAGCTTCCATGTAGTTTCCCGTATAAGGAAACCTAAAGATTCCATCAAGTTTTCATTCCACGGAAACCACTACGCTCCGATTCCATATGGTTTCCTGAGTCAAGGAAACTTTAGGAATCGTGAGGTTTCCCGAGCTTCCATGTAGTTTCCCGTATAAGGAAACCTAAAGATTCCACCAAGTTTCCATTCCACGGAAACCCCCTACGCTCCGATTCCATCAAGTTTCCTGATTCTGGAAACCAGTGGAATCTTCAGGTTTCCCATTACGGGAAACTACATGGATGTTCGGGAAACTTCAGGTTTACAGAGGTTTCCATGGTTCGGGATACCTTATGGAATCGGAGCGTAGGGGGTTTCCGTGTCACGGAAACTTGGCGGAATAACCTAGCATCCGCTACGGAAACCACTGGGAAACATGATGTAAACTTGAGGTTTCCATGTGGTTTCCATAAAGTTTCCCATGATGGGAAACCACTTTTTTCACCCAGTGGTAAGCTGTTGTTTTGAACATAGTTTATTGATATTAATCAAAAGGATTGGAAACAAATTCTAAATAACTTACCTGGTAGTTAATTCCTCTCCTTGCATGTAAGGTACGAGTATGCAACTGGGATCATGGTACATATTACTTGCAAAAGCAAATTTTATAGATTTATGTTACAAATATTTCCTTTTATAGTTTGTTCGACCAAAAACAGACAAGTTTCTTACAATACATCATGTCAATGGAACCGTGGCACGCAGATTGAATCTAGCGGATCCAGCAGTGGCCTCCTTCCCGGACTTGGATGGGAGGGAAGTCACCATCACATTAGAGGGGTCCCCTGGTAACTCTGATTTTTAGGCTCATATGATCAAGTTGTATAAAACGTTTGTTTGTTTAAGGACAAACAAACGAATGTCAAAAATTTTGAATATAACAACTTGGGTCATGTTTTAATGAATAAAATGAATAAGTCGTTTTAATTTTTTTTTTTAATTCAAAGTTTCACAAAAATGATATTTGAAGTGAAAAATATTTGAATAGAATAATAAAGGTGGTTTGAGAAAGGTAGAATTTTTAACACCACAGGTTTACAATTTCTTTATAACTGTACAATTGCTTTCTAGAAATTTATCATTTGCAATGAAATAAGGTAAAAAAAAATACCAATCCAGACATCCATTTTTTGTTTTTATCATCTTTCCTTAAGTTAAAAAAATTCTTTGCAGAGTCTAGTATTTTACCTGCTGGAGAATACTATGTTCTCGTGGAGTCAGGTAAGACACCATTTGTTTATTTACATACCATTGTTCAATTCTTGCCATTTGTTCTTTCCATTCCAAAAATTGAAAAGAAATTGCAAAACATTAATATTGCCATATTGCAAAGAACTGTATTGTTTTCTAAATCAAATAGGTTGATTAAAGTAATCAATCCATTGAATTTCCGATATTTTGCGCGATATCTGAATCATTACTAACCTGCAAACTGTCATTATCAGGAGCAGTTTCGGCGGGTTCTTTGAGCTGTACCACAGACTGGTCTGGAATCGCACAGCCTTTCTTCTGGAATTTTACTGTCGGTAAGAACCTTCAAACACTTTATTAAACTTAAACAGAACCGTTAAAATCTTAGGTAAATTTATATTTTTTAAATACACTGCAAATTAGTAGATGGTTATCAAACATACCTATCCTTTACCTTCTATTTTTGTCTTTTTTTCGGTTTGGATGGTTCAGTTCACTGGGAGACAGCAGCTGGGTCTGTTCCTTTTGACCCTGATTTTAACCCTGATTTTGACCCTGGTTTCTTTGATGTGGAACCACCAACTCTCACTTTTACCTCTAACCCTTTGGAGACCAAAGGCAACGCCTCTATCACGTGGAGTGTCAGCGAACCTCTTGCAGTTTCCTCCTGTGCCATTACATATCCAAACAAAACCGAGTCAGATGAACCATGCTTTGGTCAGTGGGAGGCTCTGGACTTACCCCCTGGTCCGTACCAGATCAGCATCACCTTAGTGGATCTGGCTGGTCTTCAGGGAGGACCTTTTCTTCTTATTTGGACTAACAGTATATAGTTATGCTTACATATGTTGCGATTGAATCACTATTATTAATGCAAATGTATCCATGTTGTCGATAAAAAGGCAATTTCTTAGGTACTGAAGACAAAAATGCTAAATTACAACGTTGAACGTTGCTCACTCACATGGGCTAGCACTGTCATATCCTTTATCGCTTCAATCTTCCTTGGATCCGAGGTAATACCCTTCTCAGAAAAAAATTGTTCAAGATATTCTATCGACTTGCTAAATAGTGAATGATAACATCCTAGCATACCTTGTAGTAAAGAATGTTGTTCATCATTTATTGACATTTCTTTCTTGGAGACGCCTGACTTGCAAATTTGTTCACACATGAAATGCAGAACTCTAATTCCATCAAAGAGAGTAACCGTCGCTCCTCCCGTATCCACCAACAGTTTTGTATCGACATCTTCCACTTAAGCTGAGAGATACATTCCAGCCTCACTTGGTTTATTGTAAGCAATGGGCTGCAGCTTACGTTGTGTTCTAACTGTCTTAGCAAAGCCAGGACCTTGACCTGGAGCTTTAGAGTCTTTGCCGTCCCTCTCTGACGTTTGCTTATCTGTCCTTCTTTACAACAATTGTAGCATTTTATTGTTCTCGGAGCGTTGTCGTCACTTCTTGTCATTGCATACTGTCCAGTTCATTGAGCTAGGTGCCTTACTCTTCATATCACCCATTCCACAGCATAACTCTGCAAATCTTCCAGAGTTTTGTTCAGTTAATCAGCATTTATCTGGGACTTAAACTGCGTATCATTATTATCTTCACCGTAGCTACACGCAAATATGACTTGTATTCTAATCTTTTGTAATCGGCTCTGACAAAGGCTTCAACAGCTAGTCTTTTAGCGTAGTTCAATCTCTGGGTTTGAGCTTGTCTGCATTACCTTAACCATCTTTAAACTGTTCTTTAGATGAAAAATATTAAATTTATGAAGCAGACAGTATATAGGAAACTTATTCAGCCTCACCACCGAGCTAGCTTTTCTGGTGATGCTGTAGAGTCTCCCTCTTTTTCAGGCAAGATAAATAACGGCGAGCCTGTTCAATCCTTGCATGTGCGACCACTTAACGTTACAAAATTGGTGGCAGCATAGTGACTCTGGTGTTTGCCTACCTGGTTAAGAAAGCATTCGAGCTAGAATTTGGTGTACATATACAAAATTTGTGTCTGTGGACGGCAGGATTTGCTGTAACTGAGACCTGCTTCAGGAAGCTCTAAGGGTAGGACTCTGTGTTTAGATATGGACTTTGTGCTCATGTACGGCATTGGTTGCCGGTACTGAAGAGATTCAGACTCTCAGAGAGAACTCATGCTAAGCTTCGGTTGACACTTTCGAGCGAGGAAAAGTGTTGTGGACAGTATATAGGGAATTTATAATGCCTAATGATGCGGTAGTCTCCTTCCATTTCAGGCAAATTAAGCAACGGCGAGTTTGTTCAACCCTTGGATGGGTGACCGCTTCACGTTACATCTATATTTATTTTCTCGGGATATTTAAGGTGTATTTCCTATGGGCGTCCTTAACCTAGCTGCGTGCACACTAAATCAACCAAAAATATAAATACCCCAAGTTTTGAAGATTAAATTTATTCCAAATTGTAATTCTTTGGATTGGGTAAGGCTGAACTAGGAAACTAAATTTTACAAAATGAAGTTATACAGGGAAGAATCTTTACAAAAACTTCTATAGCAAAGCAAGGCCATGCAATTCAAATTAATATGGAAGCATCACAATACTATTATGCTATGATATTAAGTTTGAATAAAAAGATAATTATGCCTTCTGATGAGAAATATCAGGTCCAAGTTTACTCAGGTAAAAGAACTTGGCATTTTCTTGTGTAAATTATATAGCTAATACATTTCAATTATATTTCAGTTGACGTTACACCACCAACACTTACTTTTAGGCGGAAACCACGACGGTCGCTCAGCAAAGCTAACATCACATGGGTCACTAGCGAGGTCGCTACTGGGGTTTGTGAGATTTCAGGTCCCTC